GCGGTTGGGGGGGGGGGGTGCGCAGCCCCGGCCTCCATCCCATCTGGAAGGTTTCTAAGAAACAAGGGGCGGCAGGGGGGCAGCAAAGGGCACGTCTCCAGGAAACAGCCTGGGGCTGGGACCTCTGCCTTCCGTCTGCTGCCTGGTCACCACGGAGGGTTTTGCTAACGGAAGATGATGAAGGTTCAATGAACACAGCCCCGTGGGGGCCTAAGGAGTCCCACCCTAGAGCTCATTCGGGTGATTACTTCTGAGCCGCGAGGACGGTCTCCCAGCGCTGCAGGCCGCCAGCTGCTCCTGGAAGCTCCGGTCTCAGGACCCCTCTGCCTGGTACTTGAGGACCTTAGAGTTCTCACACGAGGTTCTGGCCTTTGACGAAGGAGGCACCCACTCCCTCCCTCCCTCAGCCCTGGGCCACATTCAATGTCCCCTCTACAGAGGGAGGGGTGCAGTGTCACTGGGGGGCCATCTGGGGTGCCAGACCCGCCTGTGCCATCACTCATTCCGTCATGCGTGTGTGTAACACGCACCCACGCCGTGCGGTCAGCGTGCCAGGCGTGCTTATGCAGACATGCAGCAGGGACCCCTGGACCTGAGCTGGGTCCTCAGTGGCCAAGCCCGTGGGGACCCCGTGGTGTGTGCAGCCCAGGGGAGTTGCCCATAGGAGGCAGGAACGGGGCAGGAAGCTCCAGGGACCCCCCTCCTCCTCTTTGAAGGGGAGAGTCAGAACCTCCAGGTCAGGCCGTCTGTCCTGCGTACTGGGCCACGCGGAGACCGTGACGGGGCCAAAGGGCCTGTGGAAGTGGCCACGGGCAGCAGGAACGGCTCCCCGCTGGGCTGCGTGAGGCCCTCCCACTCCAGGGCCTGAGTCTGATGACCAAACCCTCCTGGAGGTCCTGCACACCGGAGCAGTGCCGGACGCACAGCCAATCAATGCGATTTGACAGGGAACAGCTGTAACGGACCCTTGATGTTACAGGTGGGAATACAAGTGGCTTCGGGGGCCCACGTGCGGCTTAATGGAACACAGACATGGACCCTCTGCCAGCGGGTGACTCATCTCGCACCCACCCCTCCCGCCGCCTCTCCCGCTCTGAGGCCACGGCCTGTCACCGGACACCTCAGCAGCCCCACGGCACTTGGGCTCCGCTTGGGTCCCCTGTAGTTAGTTCCCCGGGCGGCTGGAAAGACGCTTTCCTGGAGAACATCCGCAGTGGCTCCAGCACTGGGACCAAGGCCACCTGGGCTCCCGGCCGGGCTCCCACGGCCGCATGACCCTCCCATATGGACGTCCCCCCCGTGGGTGGGGTCTCCTGCCCCAGGTTCCTCCCTCTTGGCCTCATCCTTCTGTTCGCGGGGACGGGACGGAAGGCGCCTGACCTTTTCCGGCTCTGTCTACGTGTCCACCTCTGCTGGCAGCTCAGCTCCCCAGAGCAGGACGCCGCCTGCTCTCCACTCCACCCAGGCACTCAGCGCTTGGAAAACATTTGTGTAGCGATAACCGTCCCCGTGGACCACCACGTGCACAGAGCTGTCAGAAGAGCCTCATTAGCTGAGGGCCCATCCCCGAGGCCCTGGCTCGCCTGCGGGGGCCAGGCCGTGCCGACGGTCTAGAGCCTCCTGGGTGGTTCTGGGTGCAGCGGGGAGACCTGAAGCCTGGGGCGGGGTTCTTCCCGGGGGTTATGGTCCTTCTGATGACGCTCAGGTTTCAGCTGCGCTTACAGAACCAACCTGAGCCCCGCTGGACCTTTCCTTCCTCTTTTTCCCTCACCAGTTTCTCTGTGACACACTTAACAAAGCCCACAAGCGCACGGTGCACCCGCCTGACGGAGAACACGCCCAGGGCCCCGCGCACACTCACGCGATGTCCGAGAAGACGCCCGCCGGCACGTCCAGGAGACGCGCCACGTCCTCCAGCACCTCCGTCCCCTTCTCCGGGCTCAGCGGGCTGCGGGGAGAGCACAGCGTTACGCGGCGGGCTTGTCACACCCGAGGAGCAGGGATGCCCGCAGCCCACCCTCCCGCCCTGCCCTGCTCGGAGAACTGCCCCGGCTGTACCCCTGTCACATCAGGGCTGGGCTGCAGGCACCCGGAAGCAGAGGCTTCCCCAGCCGTGATGAACCACCTGCATTTTCCAGCAAGAAGACCAACAACACAAGGCAGACGGGGTTGTTAGGGGAGCGTGATGGGCCCAGGAACCAACAACTGGCTCATCTCAGCCGGGGGGCGGGGCGGAGGTGGGAGAGGGGGGCGGAGGCCGGGAAGCCAAGTTCAGGAGGGGCGTCAAACGTGCGGAGGGAACGCATGTCTTTAAGTGGATTCGGATTCATTTCTAAAATGAGTTATGCGCCAGTGAGGATACTGAAAAGTCACACTTTTAAGGTTGGCAGGACAGCCCAGCAGCAGCGACTCCCCAAAGGAGCTCACATGCCACAGCATGGAGCCTCGGACCCCCGGCAAGGCCAGCGTCCCCAGGGGGGCACCTCCAGCAGCGCGTGTGCCTCAGGTCCCTGAGCCCAGCCTGTCTCGCACCTTAGGCGCTGCCCGTGAAAGCCCGTCAGAGCCCTTCAGAGGAGAACTCGCCTGCGGTTACGTGAGCACCGTCGACAGCTGGGGTTTTCATCCCAGCCTATCATTCATTCATTCATTCATTCATTCAGCAAATGTGCAAGAAAGCCACTGAGTGCCGGGTGCTGCCCAGGAAATTCAGCGACAAACACTGAGCTGCTCCTTGGGGTTTATATCCAAGTGGGGACACAAGCAGCAAAGTCACCCACAAGAGAAAGGGACTGTGTCGTTGGGGGTTGAACTGTGTCACCGAAAATGCACACCTTCACGTCGTAAACCCGGAACCTCAGAATGTGGCCTCACGCGGAAACAGGGTCCGTGAGGTCATCAGGTGGTTCCTCATCCACCACCGCTGGGGTCCCCATGGCAAGAGGAGGTCGGGACACAGACACGCCCGGGGGACGACCGCGAGGACCAAGGTGCCAAGCCCCCTTGCCCCTCCCGCCCCCCACAGAGGGCGGCACCGTGTGAGTGGAGGGCAGTGAACATGCAGGGGGTGCCTGATGGGCTGTCCCAGGACCGCGTGACTCCAAGAGCCAGTGGGGGCGCAGGGCACGAGAAGGAACCAAAGGGGCTCCCAGAGGCTGGGGCCGTGGAGGTGGTTGCCGGGCAGGCCCTGCAGCCTTCTGAGATGGTTCAGGTGTGCGGGCAGGAGGGACCAGCAGGTGAGCGAGACCACAGGTGAGCGGGATGCCTCGGGAAGGGCAGAGGCAGAATCCCCGCGTAGACGCATCGACAGGGGCTGTGAGGTCGGCTGGCGTCAGGGGAGGGCTCCAGACGCCTCTGTGCCCCGAGGAGATGCAGAGAAGCAGGTGCAGCGACGGGACTGGGGGCGACTGCTCCGAGATTCCCAGGCTGACCGCCGCGTCCCTCGGAAGATGCTGTCACCCAGTGCAGGAAGCTCTCGGGAGGCTGCGATCAGCCAGCCCCACCGCGAGCTGGCGGCAGGTCTGGGCTGGGAGGCACTCCGCCCACAGCGGCGCCTCGCGCTACACCCACCTCTTCTCTTGGGGGAGACGAGGCCGCCAGCCCAGTGAAGGAGCTGGAATGTGATTTTTGGGTGGGGACACTGGTTGCTGCCGGTGGCGCCACTTTTACTGACTGTGCCAGGCCCGCTCGCCACACCCCTGCTGGTGACTCCAAACCCTCTCCAACCTCCAAGCCGTTCTTCCTAAGGTGAGGAGGGAGAGGTCGGTCCCGGTCTGCAACTGAGGGGCTGCCCCCACCCCGATCCTGTTCCTGAGTAAGTAGCCCTCAGGGCTGGGGACTCTCCCATCGAGGGTCCAAACCTCCCAAACACGCTCCCCAGAGCATTCACGTTATGTTTCACGTTATGAAGTTTTAAAATAAGAATGTTTTTAAAGAGGTGTGTGTGCATGTGGTGCAGACACGGGCCCTTTTACCCCGTCCCCTCACTCATGGAATCCCAGGGACACCTCTCAGAGCTGGCATCTCAGCCCCACCGAGAGGTCAGCTGCCAACTGGGAAAGGAGTCCACTCGGAACCCTGGTGTCTGCCTCGTTGCTCCCTGCCAGGAGCTGCAGGTCAGGTCCGTCTGTTCCTCAGCCAGCCTGGTGCTCGAGCGCGTCTGCATCTACATGAAGTCTGCTGGGACCCCGAGCTCCGCGCGGGGACAGGCCTGACTGCACGGCAGCCCCGCGGGCACCTGTGCCCTGGTGCCAGGGACGGGTCTCGAGGGAGCCATCCGGTGCTGACCACAGCGCCAGCTCAGTGCGCAGGAGAAATCCCGCCACATCAGAGGGGGACGAGTCCCACAGCCCCGTGTCAGGAAGACAGGGCCCTGTCCCCCCGTCCCCGGCTCCTGGCCACCAAGCAGGTCCCACCAGCTCTCACCCCTGAGGCCACGAGCTCCCTCCTTTCCCCGAACCTCCCTCTGCACGTTGACTCCAAGCCACCCAGCACGCCACTTGTTTTCAAAGGTCTCTGAGGATTTCGCGTGTTTCGGTCCTGTCTGTCCACGAGCTGCAGGCTTGCGGAGGGCGTGACCAGCTCTTATCTTTTTCTTTCTCTCCAAAGTCTAGGCCCCTGCCAGACACAAGCCAACTTCCCTACCAGGTTGCCACGAGATTCCACGAACCCCGTTTCCTAGCTTGTCTTCAACAAGGGGTTACGTAAGGAGATGCGGAGTCCGGCGCCCCCGTCGTGGATGTCAGGCCCGCCGTGAGCCTCCTGGCCCTAACTTCTTCCACCCTCACAGCCCAGAAACTGAACATTTTCCTCCGTTACGAGATATTTAAAACAGCCTTGAAGATGATGATGAAGTTCACCAGCCCAGAATGTTTTCGGCGGCCGGCCCGCTCTCCAGGGAGACACCTCGATGACCGGAGCCACGCGGTGACCCCGTCAGCCCCTCCCGTCGCGCGGTCGCGGCTCCGGCAGGCAGGGCAAATGGATCAGGACAACAGCGGCTCCGTTCTTGTGCAAGTCGGACAAGCGAGAGGGTGCTGATTGTACTCAAAACGAGCACGCAGTTATTTCTGTTTTATTTTTAAACTCTGTGGCCATCAGCTGTCATGTCATGGTCCGAAGTTCCTTAGAAAGCAGTTGGAGTTCATTTCAAAAATCAACGGATGGATACAGCACGTGCAATTTCAGGGGCCCGCCTGTGACAGCTGCCACGCTGATTACCTGGACGCCCAGCACCGCCTGGAAGAGAGAGATGGGGGCGCTTTTGGCAGCTCGAGGTCAGAGCCGGCAGCGGCCGTGGGGTCCTCTGCCTGCCTGGTTGTCAGCGGCAGGAAGGATTTCCTGTCGACAGCTGGGCCGGGCCTCCTCACTAAGGCACTTCCTTTCTGAAGCCACACGTTCCTGCTGTTTAACCGAGTTAAACAAGGCTGCTGCCGGGAGCTACTAAGTCAGCAGAACAGGCGAAATGGACTGCGTTTGCGTCCTGACCTCGATGGAAGCCCGCTGAGGGGCGGCCGCGCCCCGCTCTCAGGACAGCCTGATGGCCACCCGCACAGCCCCACGATGGCCGCGGTGTCCTGAGTCACTGCTGGACCAGAGGAAGGGGCCAAAATGAGGAGGTGATGAGGGAGCTTCGGAGGCCACTCTGAAAATAAAGACTAGTGAAAACGGCGTAAGAGTCAGAAAGATTAGGACCAGTGCAGACTTCTGGAAGGCGTCCCTCCGCCCTTGGCCGTGCGTGACTCCACGGAAATTATCTCATTCGCTGCTCACAACAGACCTGGGAGGAAGGTCCCGTATTAACCTCACTTGAGAGAGGTGGAAACTGAGACTCGGGAAATTAAACCCCTTGCCCAAGATCGTGCTAGTAAATCCCCAAAGAAAGATGGAAACGGAAAATGTCAAGTTAACGCTGGGACGTCGGCTTCCCGACTGCTGCACCTCTGCCTGGATTTTAGCCCAACCAGACTGAAGAGCGTCTGCACCCACAGACCTGGGAGGAAGGTCCCGTATTAACCTCACTTGAGAGAGGTGGAAACTGAGACTCGGGAAATTAAACCCCTTGCCCAAGATCGTGCTAGTAAATCCCCAAAGAAAGATGGAAACGGAAAATGTCAAGTTAACGCTGGGACGTCGGCTTCCCGACTGCTGCACCTCTGCCTGGATTTTAGCCCAACCAGACTGAAGAGCGGCTGCACCCGTAACCTCTCCAGGTCTTATTTTTCCAAGTGCTATTGTCTCTTACTTACGAGACACATGAAACCAAGCAGAGAACGGGATGCGGCAGCAGGGCCGGATGCCCGCGCCAGCCCCACGCTCGCGTCTGGGACTCTGCGTCCAGGAGCCGACTGTGCTTCTGCCGCTTCACTTCCTCACTGCGGACATCTCACGATTTATTTGAAAATTCACTGAAGGTTGGGAACCAAATGAGCGATGGATCACAAAATAAAAACGAGTCAACCTTGATACAACTTTTTTTGAGATGATACTTGAAATCAATCAACAAAGTGAGATTTTCACGGGATTCACCAATTATTCTAGTTATCCGTACCGAACATTATAACAAATAATGATGTTTATCTTTTTAAATAATCCTATAAGGCAGTTAAATTTTTTGCTAACCCACAGGAATTCAACCCGATGCAGAGAAGTGACGCTTCTGATGAGGACGATCCTGCTGGCACCACAGTGATTCAAGATCCCAACTCCAGTCTGGCACCACAGTTTTTCCCTGCAGGAGTCGAACAAAGGCCCCGTCTTTCAGAGCGTGAGTGAGTGAGCCTATGACAATCTGCGTAGACACACTGAGCTCCTGTGAGGGCTGAGCTCCCCGGCATCACAGAGCACAGGCCAATTCACCTCGAGTCTCTGACAACCCTGAATTACTCTGATTAGAAACTGCTAACAACCATCAACTCTTCACAGGTAAATCATAACTAGGTAAAAAACTGT